CTGTTCAGTTCCAAAGTCAATGACACTTGACGAGATTAAAAAAGCAACCCATAACGATCCAGTATTACAAAAAGTTAAGAAATGTCTGAAAGAGGGAAAATGGGATGAGAACAATCCTGATCTTAAACCGTTTAGACTTTGCGCCGACGAACTTACGTACAATGCATCAGCAGGTATACTGTTGAAGAACACACGGCTGGTCATTCCAACAACATTACAAGAAAGAGCAACAAAATTAGGTCATATCGGGCATCAGGAAATTGAGAAAACGAAAAGCCTACTACGCGAAAAGATCTGGTACCCAAATATGGACAAACGAGTGAAAGAAATGGTAGACAAATGCATTCCTTGCCAAGCAGTAGGTCACGGTAATAACCCGGAGCCAATGAAAATAACACCAACCGAAGACAAACCATGGACTAGTGTAGCAATCGACTTCTATGGTCCAGTACCCCGAACTGGTCAATACCTGCTAGTGGTTATCGATACCTACTCAAAATTCCCAGAGGTAGAAATAGTTAACTCAACCGAAGCAAAAACTTGCATACCAAAATTAGATACGATATTTGCCAGATATGGAATACCATCAAAAATAAAAACTGACAATGGACCCCCATTTAATGGGAAAGAATTTGAAACATACACTAAAACCCTTGGTATTGAATGGAAAACAATTACACCACTATGGCCTCAGGGTAATGCCGTCGTAGAAAGATTTATGAAACCAATCGGAAAACTTTTGAGAACAGCTGATATTGAAGGAAAGAATTGGAAGCAAGAAATGCAAAGGTTTCTACTTCAATACCGTTCAACTCCTCATCAAACTACTAAAGTAGCTCCGTGTGAACTACTTTTTAACAGACAAATTCGGGGATACTTACCAGAACTCACAAGAAAAAAAGTAGTTAATAGACACAAGAGGGCGAAGCAGAACTTGGAGCAGAAGAAAGAAGAGAACAAAGAGTACTACGACCGAAACAAAAGAACAAAGGAAGCTGGGATCAAAAAGGGTGACATCGTCATTTGCAAACAGAAGAAGAACAATAAGTTAACATCAAAGTTTGACCCAGAACATTATACGGTAGTACAACGTAAGTACAACACCATCATAGCTAAAAGAGATGGTAAGACGGTGACAAGAAACGTTTCACACTTTAAGAAGGTAGTAATGGAGGAAAGCGAGGAGGAGCAGGAAGATACAGCACCGGGAAGATCGACGGAAACAGAAGAATCACCAAAGCAAGAACCAAGTGTAAGGAGATCAACAAGAATGAAAAGACCGGTAATACGATATCAGTACCAGATTTGATGTTATAAACAGTAAAACGATATAAACGTTTAAACTAGAGAAACAGACAACATTGATTTACATAATTTAATAACAACATTGATTTACATAAGTATGAACACAAGGCAAGGACATTTTATTAAGTGGTTGACATTCAGTTAAAAAAAATAGAGGGAGAGTAATGTAGTATTTGTAGGATGCGATAAGTTAATAATTAACTTCGAAGCATGTAACAACGTTGATTGACATTTGTAATAAATCATCATTCAATCTATTCTATAGGCACCATAAGCATCTTTGCTTGCATCAGCGAAGACGTGCAACTCGGAAGGACCAGATACTTCTTTCGGTTGAAGACATCTCGGAAACTCGACTTTCTTGAGACTTTCGATTTCTTTGAACAATTTCTTCCAAGTGTCGCTCATAACTTCGGGAAGAGGGTCATCCCAATCAAATTGCTTTGCTTTCCAAATATTCTGTAAGGCTATTCTCGCCTTTATCGTTACTGCAGATGCTAAACCAAGTGGGTCGTAGAGCTTCGAGATATTCGAAAGGACGGATCTCTTTGTCAGTCTTTCGAGTTTTTTTACTTCTTTCGAAGCAAACCCGATTACGTCTCTTTTCGGATTCCATATTACACCGAGCGTTTTGTTCTCTTCTTCGCCGTCCAAATTCACAATTGGTGTGACAGGGTGTGGATCACTCTCGCTACCATCTGCTTCTTCTGGCTGCTCGCTTTCATTTGCCTTCTCGACTGTAGAGGAACATAACCATTCCTTAATTTTGAAGCTTCCGGTTGACAAAACTTTGTCCACTTCTTCAATGCTCTTTATTGCTTCGTTCGTACTTGGACACAAATGAATTAGATCGTCTACGTATCTATCACGCTTCAGGATCGTAGCAGCTCGAGGACATTCTTTCTCGTTTGCTTCTGCCATTTTCAACATGACAAAGCTCGCCATGTCGGGAGAGGGCTTATCTCCGAACGTAACTCTTTGGAGGGCGTATGTCGTCGGATCTCTTGTCGTATCAAGGTTTCGCCAAAGGAAACGGTGGACATGGGTATCTTCTTCCGGCAGTAGGATCTGAAGGAACATCTTGGATATGTCTCCACTAAAAGCAACTTGTTCTTCACGGAAACGTAGAAGCACTCCGAGCAGGTTGCCAATCAGACCAGGACCTTTGAAAAGGAAGGAATTCAAAGACATACCATGGTAGGGACTCGTTGGGTCAAAGACCACTCGTAACGGGGTACTCTTCTTGTCCGGACGATAGACTCCATGATGTGGTAGGTAGTAGACTGGTTTCCTATCAACCTTAAGATCTTCTTCACTGAGGGGTATTGCCCAGTTGTTTTCTGCGTATTGCATTAACGCTTGATCATACATTCTCGCTTTTTCGTCATTCTTGCTGAGGCTCTTTTCTAAGGATCGAAATCGTGTTTCTGCTAGGGAACGGTTATCAGGCAGCAAGTTCTTGTCTCTTTTCCACGGAAGACCGATTACATAACGGTTGTCATCGAGCTTACATGATCGTTCCATAAGCTCCATGGCTCGTTTCTCATCGAGAGAGAGGGCTGACTTAGGACACGGACAATTGACTACTTGCACTCCCAGTGTCTCAAACTGATAGAACTTCTCCATGTCGATCTTTCGTACAAAGTGAATTGAACAAAGTTGTGGGCTTCTTTTCTCCTCATTCGCTCCTATCACGTACCAACCAAGTTTGGTTTTCTTGGCCACTGGTTGGAATTCTTCTCCATGACGTATCTCTTCTTTCGAGTGAAGGTGGGTATAATGGACTCCAAGTATAAGATCAATTGAACCTGATACGTGATTAAACTCAATGTCTCGAAGATGGGGGAAGGAACTGAGCCATTTTCTGTCTAACTCAGGCACGTTGAGAATAGTTTTCTCAATCTCGTGGGCTTCGATCTTGAACTCTTGATCGCCTTTGAGTGCAGAGATCCAAAAGTTCACCCGTCGGCTGTGTGGTTGCTCTAATTTCTTTCCTCCGACTACCGCTAAATCGATCCGTTCTCTTTTCCCATTCAATCCGAGATCTTTCGCAAAATGCTTCCGAATAACTGTCGTTCCAGCGCCACTGTCAATCAACACGTTCCCTTCACGAACTCGACCGTTGGGAGCTCTGAATCTGGCTCTGATTACGGGCATCATGCTAGCTTTATCTACAATTGAGGCAACTGGTGGTGGACTGGAATGTAAGAGGGGATGATAAAAGTAAGGTCACGAATCGCTCTTTTCACATTTCTTCTTCGATCGACAATTATTCTTGGAGTGTCCACAATTCAAACACGAGAAACACAATCTTGCTTTCTTTGCTAGTTCTAGTCTTTCAGGAACTGAGGCTTTCGCTAATACTGGGCATTCGATGACACGGTGCTCTTCTCCGCATACGTAACATTTCATTGGCGATCTGTTTGAATCACGACCGGCGGTGTAGATCCCTCTTCTCGGTGGAGGATGGTCACTTCTTGGGGGTCTCGAGTCTCTTTGTAGGTCGCCGAAATCAGGATCAAACTCTGCCTTTACTCTCTTTCTCACGTATTCACTTATATGGCTGACTGTAGGTGTCTGACCTTTCTCACGAATGTCCGCCACGAAGACTTTCCACCTTTCAATCATGTGGTCTGGTAAGCGTGTGATGATCTTTCGTAAATTCTCGTTGGCGTTGATATCTGCTGTATATCCAATGCGTTTCATCGTGGCCATGCAATTGATAAGGTCGATCGAGAACTCTCGCAATCTCTTCCTGTCACTTCTACCGATTTTCTCTCCTTTGGTGACGTTGTTCACTAACGCACGGGCAATTACGCTTGGTTGTCCAAATTGTTCTTTGATCATCTTCAAGGCAGTCGCATACATTACTCCTTTCGAACCTAATCCCAAAATTGCTCTTTCCGCATCACCACTGACGTGCATTTTCAGCTGGATCATTCTCATCTCATCGGTGAGGTGGGGTTTGTCATGGATATGTATCTTAAAGCGATCGATAAAATCCGCGTAATCCAATGGATTTCCAGAGAATTTGGTCAAAGTAACGTTTGGTATATCTCGGTTTGCTTCCAACTTTAAAAGCGCATCTGCAATCGACATTTGGGATCCATCAACTGGTAATGCTACTTTAGTTTCTTCGAATTCCTTTAACTTATCTATCCAGGAGTCAAAGGTAATTGGATCAATATTTGTTTCTGCGGTACTGTTCATATTGCTTGTAGGCGACGGAATCTCTTGAATTTCTTCTTGCTGTAATGTAGAGGTATTAGCTTCCGGTGTTGACACTTGCGATGACGTTTGAGGCTCTTCCGGAAGTTGATTTACTGACGCGCTCTGCGGGGAAATTGCCTTGTCTTGTCCAGATGCTTGGCCATTTGATTTCGAAATACCTCGAATATATTCTTCGACTCTTTCTTCGATCCCATACACGTCACTCGTTAAGTCGTCTTCCCATTTGTCTAATATATTAACATCTACGTCGGGTAAATCGTAAAACTGACTGTGTAACTCACGCGCAACTTCAAAGTCCTTTCGTAATTGCTCGATTTCTTTCTCAAAACGCCGTAAATTTCGATCTTCTTTCGAAACTCCTTCGCTTAGACGCTTTATACTGCGAGTAATCTTCCCTCGAACTTGTTTACGTTTGTTTTTCAACGTGGCTTCGCTTGAACTATTATCTATTATCGAAGCTTCGCTTGATTCTCCCTCGGGCATTGTGCTTGGGGTAGGGATAAAACGCGGAACCGGAATGCGGATTCCGTAAGCGGATTCCGGATGCGGATTCCGCAAATGAGGATAAAACGCGGATTCCGCATTTGAGGATAAAACGCGGATTCCGCAAATGAGGATAAAACGCGGAATTGCGTAAAAAAGGACGAGAAGCAGAATAGTGTATAAAAAACTTAAATTATTACTTTTTAAGGTCATAACCAACTAAAGTTATCTAGTTACCCTAGGCCTAACTGTTGAAGTCATACATGCATGCATTAGTCTTGGTGACTTTTTGGACTATTTCTTAAAATTATGGAGGGAGGTGGAAAATCGTATTTATCAAGAGCGTCTTCATTTTTATCTAAGTTTCTTTGTTAATGCTAGTAATATTCGGGCTTTGATGGCTAGGACCTCGACTCAGACAATTGAGGATTAGAGACAATTGGTCAAACAATTTGGGTTAAATATCAAACTTTGGATATCAGACTTTTTACAATTATAACATCGCAAGCGTAACTTACGGTGGTCTTGGGGAAAAATTTAAGAAATTCTAAATTTTGGTCATTTCAAATATGTTTTAGATTGATTGTATATTGATTGTATATTACTTGCGGACAAATATCGAACGAGGGAGAATATGAATGTCCCACGTCCCGTGTGAGATTGCCTTGTTTGAGAAAATTGGCAGTAAAGTTTTTAATTCCAATAACTTACATAGGACAATAGAATTAGTATAGGAAATTGCACGATTCGAGAAGTATTAACGAAAAATTGCACGCGTGCATGGCGAAATATTTATAACTTACCGGGAATGCGTAGCATGAGCGGTATTATCAATATTTTGCAAAACACAAGTGCAATTTTTCATCAATACTTCGAGAGCAAATGTAATTTCCTATAAATATCATTATAGTCTATTTACTACACAAAGATAAACATTTTAATTAGTGAATTTTCCGCGCGCGAATCGTGCAAATTAAAATTAATAACCGTGTGCAAGTAATGTTTAATTTGCACACTTCTTAGACCTTTTGAACCGGTTTCGTATAATTATATTTTGGTGCTTAAAATATACTGTTGCTATTCAGTAGGAAACATGCGAAGACTGACTGCATTTCTTTATTTTTACAAAAAATTGTACTGAATATTGGAATTTTTTGTCCAAGACCACCATAAGCGCACTTATTTGGGTTACTTGTAATTCGTTTGAATGCAGTTAAAATTAAGAAAGGGAAAATTTTGCCAGGTAAGTTTTTCAGTGGTTGTGGCATTGTGCAAGGTGATATGAATCAATTTGTAACTTGATCAAGTAGAGCAGAAATTAAGAAATCATTTCAAATTTCCATTTTTTCGTTCAGACACTGCTTTTGCTAAAATAATTCATGTTTTAGCAAACGCGTGTAAGCGATCAAATGTCCAACTGAATATTTAACCGATATTTTTCATATTATGCGTTCGAACTTCGAACTAAAGTCTGGAACGCAGCAGGATATGGAAGGAATGTTGATACGCAATTAAATTAAAGGAAACCTTAATTACAATGCGTACAACACCTAGCAATCCGACAAAAACCATGCATAAACACCTAGTAATCCGACACAAAGTTCATATTAATCTGTTCCCAACAAGCGTTATATGTCTTGCGTATAAGTCGTAATTTTAGCTACTTTGAATTGATTTCTGCTCTATTTGCACCCGGAGACTAACTCACGACTTTTGGCGGAGCGTTGACAGACTCTTTTCACATCGAATCCGTAGCGAGAATCGAACCCACGATCTCAGAGGTGAAAGGCGCTTCCTCTGACGCCTGCGCCATCAAAGCCCGAATATTACTAGCATTAACAAAGAAACTTAGATAAAAATGAAGACACTCTTGATAAATACGATTTTCCACCTCCCTCCATAATTTTAAGAAATAGTCCAAAAAGTCACAGTCCCCCCCCCCCAACACTAATGCATGCATGTAAGACTTCAACAGTTAGGCCTAGGGTAACTAGGTAACTTTAGCCAATCGCTTTTTAGTGGTTGTGACCTTAAAAAGTAATAATTTAAGTTTTTTATACACTATTCTGCTTCTCGTCCTTTTTTACGCAATTCCGCGTTTTATCCTCATTTGCGGAATCCGCGTTTTATCCTCAAATGCGGAATCCGCGTTTTATCCTCATTTGCGGAATCCGCGTTTTATCCTCATTTGCGGAATCCGCTTCCGGAATCCGCTTACGGAATCCGCATTCCGGTTCCGCGTTTTATCCCTACCCCAAGTACGCACGACAAGTGCGCTCGTGTGCGGCGGGCTTAATAATATGATAAAATAAATATCAATTGATCAAATATGGTCACAATTTCGCTATAGCATATTCGTTTCTAGCGTGTCTTATATTAACCAGTTCATCCTTTAAAACGATTGTCTATATATACTTACCTGTAAAATACTCATTAATTTTATAATAATTCATAAACCTTGTGGCAAATCATGTCAGCCATAATCAGGTCACGTGGAGTGACTTTATATCTGATAAAGCATGCGGCATTATATAACTGAATTGTTCATCCTAAATAATTAGTATATGATTGTAAGCCCCGTTTACACTACGCTCAATTTTTGGTACGGCACGGATAAAATTGGTACCCGTACCACTTTTTGGTTCTTTGACTACCTATTTAGGTAGTCCAAGAACCAAAAAGTGGTACGGTACCAAAAATTGAGCGTAGTGTAAAACGGGGCTTAGCTAAATAGACCGTCCAAGAACCAAAAAAGTGGTACGGGTACGGCCAATTTTATCCGTGATGTACCAAAAATTGAGCGTAGTGTAAACGGGGCTTATATAATAATGGTTCATCCTAATTAGTATTCTTTTGTAGGCGTATTTTAAGCTATTCAAAACACTCGTTGTCGTCGATAAAACACTCCTACTCGTGTAGGAGTGTTTTATGTCTGTTTTATGTCGTACAGACGTAGTGGAGTTAAACCAACCGATAATTAATATTTAAAATGTTATTTTACGTTTTTTTCATTAAACGAATTCATTTCACTTCACTACCTGGTACTGTCTATTTCGAGCATTGACATGCCCAATATCAATTTTCGAGCTGTAGTAAACAAAGGGGAAATCCCGCTTACGGGGGGTTGGTCCATACGTCATTAGCATAACCTAACTTATGCGAGGCCTCCAGAGAAAACTAAAAGCGCTAAAGACAAGCTCATTTTTTTAAATAATGTGTAATTTATCAGTGAAAAATGAAAAATAATATTTAAGGGGCCATTCACAAAGGATGTCCGGCCAAATGATGGATTTTCAGACCCCCCTCCCCCCTTGTCCGGCATTGTCCGAATTAGTGACCCCCTCCCCCCGGACATCCGCCATGCCTCGCAAAAACTCACGCAATCTTGTATATATCAAGAGTAAAAAACTTTTACTTTTAGAACTTTTTTATAACTGTAAATGTGAACACAAAAACATATAAATTACTAATTAAAACAAAATCTAGTGTTAACCGCATAGTCAAAATGCCAATTTCACAATGGGAAAGACTGCTCAAAATAGAGGGAAAAAAGAAATTTGTTTTTGAATTTTTTTAAATTTCGGACATCCGGATTGCTAAAAACCCCCCCTCCCCCCCTATGTCCGAGTTTGTCCTGATTTTTCAAACCCCCCTCCCCCCCTCGGCTCGGACATCCTTTGTGAATGGCCCCTAAGGGATATGTTAATTTTTTGCTGAGATAGAGCGTTTTTAGTATGCTGACTTGTCGACTGACCTGCGGTAAGTGATATATGTGGCGGTTCGACGACTTGTCTTGTGCAAGCTGTTCAGTCAAAGTTTAAATCGGTATAAGCTTAAAAATAATCTCATATGATGCGAATATTATGGGTAAAGAATGAAAAAATATATTATGACGATAAAGAAACTTGTGGCAGAGAATGAGCGTTTTGAATCGCTAAGCGGCACGCGTGTTTGCAGTCTCCATCAATATGTCGCTGTGCGATGACATAGCTTATGCGAGGCCTCCAGAGAAAACTGAAAGCGCTAAAGACAAGCTGATTTTTTTAAATACTGTGTAATTTATCAGGGAAGAATGAAAAATAATATTTAAAGGATATGTTAATTTTTGGCTGAGATAGAGCGTTTTTAGTATGCTGACTTGTCGACTGACCTGCGGTAAGTGATATATGTGGCTGTTCGACGACTCGTCTTGTGCAAGCTGTTCGATCAGTCAAAGTTTAAATCGGTATAAGCTTAAAAATAATCTCATATGATGCGAATATTATAGGTAAAGAATGAAAAAAAATATTATGACGATAAAGTCGGAGAACGAGCGTTTTAAATCGCTAAGCGGCACGCGTGTTTGCAGTCTCCATCAATATGTCGCTGTTCGGTGACATAACTTATGCGAGGCCTCCAGAGAAAACTAAAAGCGCTACAGACAAGCCGAATGCTTCAGGTGATGTGCAAATTATCAGTGAAGAATGAAAAAAATTTATTATAGCGTTACATTTATTCCTTACGACGATACAGAGATTTAGATAGGAACTAACCGTGTCTTGCTCAAGATTTAATTGACCCGACACGGTTTGGCGACTTGACTTATGCAAGCTGTTTAGAGCAATCTAAAAGCAGTAGCGACTTAGGGATTGCGTTATATGGTAGTCCTTTTCTTGAAGAAGAATGAAAAAAAAATATTGTTAAGATGGGTGAAGGCTTTGTAGAGTTAGAGCCATTCGAACACGAACGCCATGCCTCTGGCTCCAGATTCAATCTGAAACTGGAGCTGTGAATCTGAAACTGGAGCTGACTGGCTTCTCGTCAAGTTGGTCGGAGTTTAGGTTTTTGTCGAGGGTCGAGTGTCGAGGGTCCAATGTCGAGGGTGAGGATAAAAAGTCGAGGGTGAGGGTAAAAAGTCGAGGGTCATAAAAAAAGTCGAGGGTCATAAAAAAAGTCGAGGGTCGAAATTTGCGGGCAAATATGTATGCAGAACTACATTAACTTTTAAAAGATACTACCTT